ATTCATGTCCACAAGTATTTGATGATATAACAGTGTGTGATGATTCGAAGTGGCAGGAGAAAAGTATCCTTGGATCATTATGGCTTGATTGCTGGACTGTCTGGAAGAAACATCTGCTGAACTTTCTGTTACCTTAGCAAACCTCACTGTTTGCCACCATGGCCATAATACAGAACTTAGTTTTGAGAAATTTACAAGAACATCAGAGTATGTTAACAAATCCATGCAGAACTGTATGGTGTTTATGATAAAGCTGACTTGTTTCTACTTGATTCTACTGAAAATTGAACAAGAAAGGTAGAAATATATAGTTTGATTGAACCTCCAGCATTTATCTCATAGCCATCTTGTCCCAGAGTTTTGTCTTAAGGATGTCATAGGTGCCACCATATTAAGAGATCTTCAGCTGAAGTGAAGTCAGATTATTATATTCTATAACTATAAAAATGGGCTTGATACAATCAATTGTGACCATGGGCTTGTCTGCACTACCCAGTTGCCCCATCACTAGAGGGCAGGGCAGGGCAGGGCAGGGCAGGGCAGGGCAGGGCAGAAACAGATAACATTGCCCTCTATTATTCTTCCATTCACTGTCAAAGTGACCTCAGGGCATGATTTTCTCCTCCACTTTTGAAGTATACTTTTCATTGTTATGTTGCCTTGAGCACTCCTGTTCATCTATATACTACTAAAACTCTCATGTCTGTAACCTTAACTGAGCAAAATGGTGTGTCATAGGGCAATAATTTTTGAACCAAGGTACCTCAAATGGGCTAACTTACAGAATGCATCCAAAATCTGGGACCCATTACTCCCATGGGATTGAAATTTTGGGAAATTTGTGGCTGCTTCAGCACTGTTGTACTGCTGCGCTGCGGTGGTCAGCCCAAGTCCCGCCTTCCTCTGTTCTCTGCACCTAATCAGCTTGCAGCAAGGCCCAATGGGTGAGTGATGATTGGCTGTTTTGGAAACGAGGCAGAAATCTGAAATTTCTTAACAGCTGTGGTCACTGAGGGAAGGATGAGGGAACAACTTGAATTCCTGCTGGTGAGGTAGGGCTGGCTGGGGGATGCCAGTGGTTGATGGGTGAGCCCTCTTCCTCCCTTGAGTGAGGGGCCCTTGGGGACACGCTGGAATGGGGAGCGAGGGTGCAGTTTTCCTCACAGTCCATGGCTCCCTTTGTTCCACCTCCCGGCAGCAAAGTGGCAGGCAGTTCCGTGGGTCAGCCAAGGAGGAGGAGGAGGA